GATTTGTTAATCTAATGAATAACTGATTTGTTAAATCAAATGAAAAATTGTGTGTTTGATTGGTCCAGACGTTACAACTGATTCCAAATTGCATGACAAAAAATGTACTTAGTAATGTAATCCATTACATTACACATTTTTAGGTAATATAATCAGACAGCTTTTAGATTGCTTTTGACCTAACTCATCTATCACATTGATTTAAAATGTAACATATTGATATAAAAATGGGTAACACTTTATTTTGATAGTCCACTTTAGACATTCTACTCACAGTAAGAAACTTTGCAACTAAATGTCAGTTTTTTCAACTGCTTACATTTTTAAAACTTTGCCTCTTTTTTTAAAAACTTTACACACAATTGCACGCACAAAATGTAAAATGCATCACATCTCTTGCAAAATGAAGCACTAAAAATTTAAAATGAAAACAAGCCATTTTGAAATAACAACATTCAGAATAAAACACTTCCTAAAACCAATGCATGTCATGTGACCTTAAAATCTCAGGGGTACTTCAGATCAGTATATTAGGTGAAAGAGATCTGGCTGACAAATAAAAAGTTTGGGAAGCCCTGCATTACATGTTAATAAGAAATAACACGAATTTGTGCATTTTTGATGTCATAGTAATGCAAGGTTAAATAACCTGTGATAATTCAAATAAAAATGAATGTGTTCATCAGTAGTACATGCAATATTGAAATGTTGAGAAAACAGTTTTTAAAATTGAAATGATTTCTGTAAATCCAGTGGTCAAATGCTCTCTCAATTTTCAGTGCAATTATATCCACCTCTGCTCTTTGTGTGAATGTCCACAAAACTGGAAGACTTTCTGACTGTATATAAGCGGCAGGCTATTTCAGACAGGAACATTTCAAAGATGGAAAAGAGGAATTAGGGAGAATCAATAAATAATGAATAATATATTGCTGTTGAGTGAATAATATGTAATCTTGTAATCAATTAAAAGTAACTGTAGTCTGATTACGAGTATTTTAAAATGTAATATAATCTAATTACAAGTACTTCATTTTTGGAATCTATCTGTAGGTGTGACATATGCTACAAATATACCCCAGCGACTTAACACTGCTTTTGTGCTGCAGGGACACATTTGTGAAGAGCACTGCTGTAAAAAGTGCATTCAGACACTCAAAAATGTTAAAATTCATGATAGTCTCATTGACTTGTATTTAAAGCACACTTTTGAGCACATGTGAGCAAGCCTCGAAACAGTGAGTATTACTGTGCAGTTTTCTTTCTAATTGCATTTTCTTGCTTTTTATGCAGACTTCCCCTGTAAAGCCTGACATATGAAATAACAGTATGAAAAATCACATTTCTTTCTATGGGAAAAAAAGCACCTCAATTTTCTTTCAAGGCTCAGAAATATGCAACTCGGTGCAGTTGCTGATTTTTATATGGCTAGAAATGAAAAATGAAATTCTGATAGCTTGTAAGTAAATATAAATAATAGGCCTAGCTGTCGCTCTGTATCTCCCAATAATGTATTTTAGTAAGATGACGTTTGCTTATTTATGCTTAGATTTATGATCAAACCTCTGAGTTTTTATTTTTTATTTTGGGGTCAAAACATATAATGCAGTGCAATGCAATTATAATTGAGGTTGGATCATGTTTGATACTCACATTTTAACATGTTTTTTTCAAGTGTGGAGAATCAAGTCAACCTAAGTTGCTTGAGTAAGTGTTTGTCTTGAAATATTAATAACAATATCAAAGTTATTTTTATGGTTAGGGGGACAGTTATACTGAAAGACCTTTTGCTCGCTGAAAAAGTATAGTCTATGAATCAGGCGTGCGTTGGTTTGTTTGGATCGCGCTGATCATTATTTAGAGGCCTTTGAAATGTGAGTATCCACCGAGAGAAGAAGATGATGACGATGAACTGAAATGAATCTTTCTTTCTCAGGAAAACCAAGCGGATGAAGATGTGAAGAGCTGAAGCGTCTTCACCAACAAAAGGGCTTTGATCGTTCTGAGAAAACATGAGCGCGATTCCTCCGTGGGTCTTTGAGGCATGGCATTTTCTCCATTTATTTGCATGCGTTTCACTTTTATTTGTATTTCTTTCACTTTTCAGTGAGGTGTGTTCACCAGTGATGTTGGGCATATCTCAATTTCTAATGTTTCTGAAAGAAGTCTCTTCTGCTCACCAAGCCTGCACTTATTTGACTGAAAAACAAAGCGTGCAAATGTTGGACACTGATGCACACTCGACAGCTGCAGCTTTGTTTAGTTAGCAGACAGAGCTCAGACTCTCATGCTGCTGGATGACAAAACAATCTTATGACACTCACACACTGGTCTGGAAAGTAGGCAGCACAAAGTAAAAGTGCATATTTTATAGTATGTCATGTGGGACACAAAGAAGAGTCAGTAAAAGTTCAGACAAGCGCGCCCTCTGCTGGTGAAGCTCATCTGTAACTCATCTGAACTATTAAAGGGGTCATAGGATGCTACACGCACTTTTACAAGTTGTTTGAACTGAAATGTGTGTTGGCAGTGTGTGTACACAACCACCCTATAATGATAAAGATCCACCCAGCGTTTTTTGTTAATCTACTAAAATCTTTTCCACTTTCTCAAATCGAGCCGATCTCAGATGCCTGTCTGTGTGACGTCACACAGACAGGCCCCTCCCACGATAGTTTGACTGACAGTAGTGTTTCAGCACAGACTGGACTGGCGTCTTACCTTAGCTCCGCCCTGAGTGACTGTCATCAGTC